CGTTAAGGTGGTATTTTTACATAAAGCTTCAGCCAGTGCTTTTCCTCCTGATTCACCTATATCATTATCAAATAAATCTAAATTCGTTAAGGTGGTATTTTTACATAAAGCTTCAGCCAGTGCTTTTCCTCCTGATTCACCTATTTTATTTTTACTTAAATTTAAATTCGTTAAGGTGGTATTTTTACATAAAGCTTCAGCCAGTGCTTTTTCTCCTGATTCACCAAGACTATTGTAACGTAAATTTAAATTCGTTAAGGTGGTATTTTACATAAAGCTTCAGCCAGTGCTTTTCCTCCTGATTCACCAAGATTATTCCAACCTAAATTTAAATTAGTTAAAGTGGTATTTTTGCATAAAGCTTCAGCCAGTGCTTTTCCTCCTGATTCACCAAGATTATTCCAAGCTAAATTTAAATTAGTTAAAGTGATATTTTTGCATAAAGTCTCAGCCAGTGCTTTCCTCCTGATTCACCAAGATTATTCAAATATAAATCTAAATTCGTTAAGGTAGTATTTTTACATAAAGCTTCAGCCAGTATTTTTCCTGATTCACCAAGATTATTCGAACTTAAATCTAAATTAGTTAAGATGGTATTTTTGCATAAAACCTCAGATAGTGCTTTTCCTGCTGATTTATTTAATTTATTACTACTTAAATCTAAATTAGTTAAGGCGATATTTTTGCATAAAGCTTCAGCCAGTGTTGTTATAGCTTTACTGTCAAGTTGATTATTTTTTAAATTTAAGTATATAAGAGTGGTATTTTTATACAGAACTTTGACTAGTGCTATTACTGCTTCGTCACCCAGATAGTTGTTTTTTAAATTTAAATTTGTTAGTGCATTATTATTGCATAGTGCCTCAGCTATTTCTCACCATGCCACATTACATATTTTTTTTGAACTTAAATCTAAGCATTTTTTACTAGGGTTTGTAAATAGAGCTTCAGCTAGAGCTTTTCCCGCCTCATAACATAGCTTATCATGATTTAAATTTAAATTGTTTAAACTAATATATCGTTGTGAATCTAGCATTTCTTTGTTTAATTGAATGATATAGATTCGTATATAAATTTATTATTTCAGTATATTCAAGCGAGAATGCGAGTTAGATAGTATGATTAATATTGATTCGATAATTATAGATACTAAGTTTAATCAAAAAAACTAATATACCATTATTAAATAATTTTCTTCGCTTTGTTTCATCTTATAAATATAGTTCGTAAATAAATCTAGTAATGCGTTAAAATTGATAAAATAGCCAAACATTAAATTTAAACTTACTATAATCATTTTTATTTGGTAAAAGTTCGGTAGTGCGTTTTTTTGAAGTTGATAAGTTTATAGTTGAATTTAAACCGTTGGCATTTTTAAAATGATTAGGACTGCTATCCATTTAAATTAGAGAAATCAATAATTTATTATTTTTAATGTTCAATTTGTAAAAAAGATAATGAACTTAATTACTTACATAATATTAAATGAATCATTATTAATATTTTGAAAAGAAATTATAGGGCATAATGTAAAAGATTCAGAATCTTGAAATAAATCTGAATTTAATAATTTGCTGTGAGTTTTAGAATGAGGATGCTTATATTTAGCAATAAATTTTCCGGCCTTAAGCAATTCTTGTCGTTTCATTTCAGCTGCATTTAT